CATGATCAAACTGGAAAGCTTAACTATAAACTGTTTCCTATGGAACACACGGAGCAAAATAAACAGAGGGAGTCCTATACATACACTGAGAAGATAATGAGAGAGAGAGAGAGGGGGAGAGAGAGAGAGAGGGAGAGAGAGAGAGAGAGAGAGAGAGAGAGGGATTAAAAAAAATAAGGAGGTCATGGAGTGAAATGTCTTCTTTGTGTTCCCCAGCTGTTAACTCCAGAGGAAAGTTATGGTTGTTCGTCCACTTCTAAGTTTTCGTCTTGTTCAAGAACTTGAGTTCTGCCTGCACACCTGTGTTACAGATCTGTCTTCTTTGTCCTTGCCTCTCAGACAGATGCACTTCTAATAGATGGAAACACTCCTAATTAGTCAGCTTTTACAACATGCTTGTTTGCTTGTTGGGAGAGGGGGGGGGGGGGGGGGGGGGGAGTCTATTCTTTAAACCCCTCCCCATGGGGTCCTGCAATTCACATGAGGATAGTGGACTGTTAAAGTTGACAAAAGAAGAGTTATATGAAGCAATTTAGAGCCTATGCTTCTTGAGGGTGTTAGTAAGAAAAAGAATTCAAGTTAATGAATCTACAGCATATTTCCAGACCAAAGGTCTCGAGTTTAAATCCACACCAAAGCAGATTTGGTTATAAATGGCCACAGCTCTCAGGCTGATTCATCTTGAAACTGGCACTTAAGAAATGACCTGTGAAGAAAAGGCAACCGGCATGATGTTGACCCCATCACCCACCAAGTGTAGAACAGTCTTTTTTCATTTAGAGATCATCTTCATCGGAAATGACCATAAGTGCTCCATTCTCCCTCCTAGTATGTCTCCAAGTGTTTTTAGGCTAAAAAGTTCCATTCTGTTCTGGATGACAGAACGATCGGTGGCTCCCACAAACTTTTCCTGTCTTGCTGCTCCAATTGGTACAGCCAGGGTATGTGGTCTAAAAAAAACTTTCCACGAAACTGAAAGCCTCAAAGCGTTTAGTCTCTCGTATGACATTGATAATGTCTCTCCTGTCCATGGATGGCCCATTCCTGATAGTGGCACTGCCAGCCAGGGTGACTGCTCTCTCCCACAGAACAGTTGGTTCTTTCGTAATACCCAACCCCAGATTACGTCACAGGACAGTCCAACATTTTTGAGGTAGTAAGACTGGGTTTCCCGGCTTTCTAATGCTTTTAACAACCCCAAAATATCTAGAACTGGTCCTAACCACAACCCACCTACGTCCCACCAGAGAGTGCAGCCTAGGTCCCACGATTGCATGCAGCCTGTCTACTAGACCCTGAAAAATTACACTGTCCCGTGACCTGTGGATTTCTCCTGTTTGGGGTAGACTATTGAGAAAGCATCAAACAGTCTATTAAAATATGAGACTAGGATCTATGCCTGATTAGCCACTGGCAAGAAAAGGAACTTTGGCTTCTTCTTCACACATCACAGCAAGCAAAGAAATAACACAGCAATTCTGCACTTCAAACATCACAACACAGTGTCAGGGATATTACTGATTGAAAGTAAACATTAGCTATGTGGCATGGAATTTCAAGCGCTTTTTATATACTGAATGTAAAATGTGCCTAAAAAAACTAGAAGATTCAATAGCTGAGGCTGGTTCTGCAATGTCCTGTAAAGGATATGCAAATAACTTATTTGAGAGATTTTTACTCTAAACTATACCTTTTTACTGCTTAAATACTCACACTTCTTTGAGTAGATGAGTTTCAAGAATTGACATCGCAGCATTCAGGACATTCATATAAGTGTTCCGTCCCCTTCTTGTGCAGCCAACGAAAAATTCCAACTCTGATGGTACCTGTAGTAGTCCGACTGTATGTCCGTCTTACCTTTCCTCTGAGCGTGGAGTGTTGGCCAGAACCCACGGTCACTCCCCATTGCAGCATTCTTTTTTAGACTGTGATGATCTAATTGTGCCTCCACACTGTTCACTCGCTTCAAAAGGGCCCTTACATCTAACCTCTCCCCCCGAGTTGTGCAGAACCAGCTAGTCTGTCTGCCTGTTCATTTCCCAACACACCCACCTGCCCTGCAGAAAATATTTTTAAGGACACCAACTACCCTGGACCTCTGAAGCAATGCTAGCCACTAGAGTTAATGGGTTTGATTCTCTAGTCTACAGCCAGTGAATGCTAAGCAGAAGAAGAGGAGATTTCTCAACTGGAGACGTTTTTTCCCAGGCAGTGGAAGGATTTATTCAGGGGATCAGGAAGGTGAAGAGATAGAAATGCATCACAGATGGAGACCCATTCCAGGTCCCTGCCTTTTTTTTTTACAGAAACTAAAGTGAAAAATATTCAGACTGCTCAATAGAGCCCTAATTAAAATAAAAGCAGTGGATTCTGGCGGAATGCAGCACTGGCACCTTTTAGATATCAGTTTTTCTCTCACTATATTGTGTAATGTCGGCTTTGTGACTTCATAATGCCGGGTTTGATCCCAGCTGAGGTGCCTAGCGTTGGTTTCGACAGTGGTATCAAGAAAGCTGACCGTCCAGAAAGCAATGGCAAACTACTGGACATAAATGTGCCTCGTTCTGCAACGTCCTGTAAAGAATACGCAACTAACCTATATTGTGTAATAGATACTTTGTTATGCTCACGGTTACTTCTTTTTAAAAAAGGAATGAAGCCCTTAAGTGTCTTGACTTGGAGTTAGAAGACAAACGGAAAGAATCTAAAGGGACTACTAAGCTTATAGATCATGTGAATTTGTTTTTGAAAATCAGGCTTACAAAACAGAACAAAAAAACAACTCTGGTGAAAATGTTCTTATTTCTAATTTAAATTGCTTGTGGAGGGAGAGAATGAGAAAGTATAAACATAAAACAAACTGCTACAGTACTACAACTACAACCAAAATTACCCATTAATGAAATTAAAGAACATATATTAGGAAATAAACAGTGTAGCAATAAGATGAAATAATTATATGTTAATTGTAAAAACATGTAACTGCCAATTAAATATATCATGATCATAAAGTGCCTTGCCGACTGCTCCGTAATCATGATTTCTCTACAACCTGTGATCTTTCTATAGCATGTATCAGTTCGTGTGCTGATACCCCTCAAGCCATGACAAATGACTGTTAAGAATCAGTATGTAATTAAATACATGTGTCTATAAAATGCAATATACAAAAACAATGACATTCTTTCACTGATGGCAGTAAAACCTGCAATAACACAGTTGTTCTAAACTGTACTCAATAAGATATGACAACCCACCCCCTCTTGATGGTAGGCTGCTTCGTAACATTTCTATGGTGCCCCAATATAAATATGCTATACGGTTACCAGATTTGTAGCTGTTTGATTCAAGAAATATTAATTTTACAGAATGAAATCAGGAGGGAAAAAATTAAGAAAAAAAAAGAAAAGAAAGAAGAGACACGTATTCAAAGGATTTTTGACTGCTATAGGTTTATTTATTTCTGGCTGTCCTCTCTTACTCCAGCTCATTAGGGAGCTATGAACACATTTTTTATAATTCCGTCATACTGGGTTTGATCTAGCAGCAGATGATTCACAACAGTATGAGTGTTGACTATCCAGCAAAGCAATTATAAACTATTGAACATTAAAAAAAAAAGCCCAATACCAGGGCTGGTTTATAATGTCCCGTAAAAAATTCACAACTAACTTTAAAAAAAAATATTATTTACAATCTGAGGTCAAACATTGTGACATTCTTCTATCTGAAGGTGAGGCTGGCATATTTCTAATTCAAACCTAGTTGTCTCTACACAAAAACAGTTCAGTTTTGTGCAGGCTGAGGGACAAAAAATGTTAGCAATACTAAGTAATTAGAATATCGTAATATATATATATAAATCAACTCTCTATATTACAACCAAATGTAATGTAATAAATACTTGGACCAAAGCAGCTAAAGTATCAATTCCAACCAGAATGAGTTAAGTAACCTAGTAAAAAAAAAAATGGGCTAATGAAAAATGTGTTATGGACAGAAGAAACGAAGTAGATCCTGTACACAGAGTTGCTTGGTATAAGCTACAATATTAAGGATCAGGAAAGGTAGACGAAGTACTTCCCTCCATGCCTGAATTAAAAGAGACAGTATTGTTTTGTGTACATTAAACTCTTTTAGCCCCAAGGAACTTAGGGTTATTTTCTTGCTTACTCATTACATGGTAAATATTTATGTACTTTTTCTGTTCAGTTCTCCCGTTATAATAACCCATTTGATCTCTGCAGTTACTATAATCCTTAATTTCAAACCCTATTTTGTCCAATAGACTCAAAAAGGGTTGTTCTACGGTTAACAAAATTGTCAGACACTTGAAGTAACAGCCACGTGAGACTGAAATAAAGGACAGCTAAAGAGGATACCAACTTTTAAACTCTTTTATTGTTGAATGCTTGAAAATGTATTCAAACATACTCTACATGAATTCAATTTACAGAAAGTACATTAATGACTAATTGCTCAGCCATGATGCAGCTATTTTTGGGAAAAGTAAATGTCACTGAATAAATTTCACCAGACAGGCATTGAAATGGGGACAAAAATGCACCAAGGAATAAAAAAAAAAGATGTCTAAGAAAAAGCCAAAGAAAAATAATGATGGGGAAGGCAAAAGCTGCTGGACTGGAATCCACCTATGATATAACAAGAGACTACAGGATAGATAGAAGAGAGGAACACACTACGATCATGTAACATATAATAAAAGGATGATGACGAATCATCATAATAACTATATATGAAGTAGTCGGTTCAGTGACCCACTTATTGGCGGAACTGATTTGAGAATTTGTTCATTTTTTGAACCATCTTCATCTTTCACAACACTTTAGCAGTTTGTAAATACTAATCTAACAAATGTCTCACAAATATAAATGATTTTATTGTGTGTATTTTATAAATGTAAATACAGATTCTGGAATGTTCAGTAGAATGACCATCTGTCAATACATACAGATGTCATCATAGTGATTGGAATGACCTCACAAGCCACCCTCAATGACGCGCACAAATTCTGTAAGAGAAGAGGAAAGCCATAAATCATATATTTTAGTCTAAAAAACATGTCAAATCGAACTTTATATTTTCATCTTTAACCCTTTTGTCCCAGCAAAACTAAAAAAAAAATTTGTCACGACCCCATGGGAATTCTCAAAACAAATGCTTTAAAGTTAAAACAAGAACTTTACATAAGCCACTAATAAATGTTATCTATGTACATCAAAAAAAATTTTTTTATTCAAAATATAAAAAGATCTATAAAAGAAGCATTTAATAAACATGAACAGAGTGAAGCAGTAAATGGAATACATAAAAAAATATCTACTGGGTGACTCATGCTGTGTCCTCCTCTATCACTGAGGCTAACGGGAGAATCTGACATTAAAAACCCATCCTAATTGAGAAAGGGTAGGGGGGGAAGGGAGCCTTAGGATTAAGGGCTGCATGGCTAGTGTTGTCACCACGGACTGTGCAGGATAGGATGTTTAGTTTTACCCCTGTCAGAAAAACTCCCCCATCTTACCAGAAGTGGAACCTGGGTTTCCCGAATGAGAGCCTGACACTGTTAACTGCTCGACCAGCTGAGTTGTTCTGACACCATTCCCAAAATCCACCCACAGATCATGCAAATTTTATAATGAGAATGTCGCTCTCATCACAACATGTCTCTCCTTTACCAGCTCTATGTACTTCCTAGCCAATGAATCTTCAATGTCTTTTTTACACCTCCGCTTATGTCTTGTATACACCCTGCCCCATTTTCTGGAAACTGTACCCCCATCACTGTTCTCTCTACGCCACCATGACATTTAACATGGCTACAAAATACTTCTGCTTTTGGGACAGGATGATGTTTATGAGCCCATTCTCCTCAATACTCAAATCATGTAGGATCTGCTGTCTTTGTCTACTTCTTGGTCCATGGTATTCTAATATTTTTTTCTACTTTTCCTTGGATGATTAATTTTTATTTGTAATCTCCAATATTTCCAGAACAAACCCCTATGTCTCATGCTGTAACCAAGCCAAGATTTGTTGTTAATGACAGTAACAGAACTAATGAGACCATATCAATACCTACCCTCAATACTAATTTGGCCATCACCATTTGGATCAAGCTCCCTAATCATTTCAACCATTTCTTCTTTCACCAGCTTCTCGCCCAAGTTGCACAGGATGTGGCAGACCTCACTGGCATTGATCATTCCAGAACCTTCCTTGTCAAACAGTCTGCAACAGACAACAACAATAATGAAATTCATAACCTGTTTAAATCTCCAAGAATAAATAGGCATCAAAAAGGCTAACAGAATGCACTGGTTGTGGCAGAATGGCTGATAACAGTGACATAAAAGCTGCATACACAAGAGATGAATGGAAGCAGACCATGAGGATTGTGGAGAGATAATATAACCAGACATGCAAAAACTTGGAGCCATCAACTGGGAAAAGAAGGCCAATCACATAGATAAATGGAGGCAGCAGATATCTGCGGCAATGAATCTCAAGGGCACCAGAAAGAGAAGGCCAATCACAGAGATGAATGGAGGCAGCAGATATCTGCAGCAATAAACCTCAAGGGCACCAGAAAGAGAAGGCCAATCACAGAGATGAATGGAGGCAGCAGATATCTGCAACAATAAACCTCAAGGGCACGAGAAAGAGAAGGCCAATCACAGAGATGAATGGAGGCAGCAGATATCTGCAACAATAAACCTCAAGGGCACGAGAAAGAGAAGGCCAATCACAGAGATGAATGGAGGCAGCAGATATCTGCAACAATAAACCTCAAGGGCACGAGAAAGAGAAGGCCAATCACAGAGATGAATGGAGGCAGTAGATATATGCAACAATGAACCTCAAGGGCACCAGAAAGAGAAGGCCAATCACAGAGATGAATAGAGGCAGTAGATATCTGCAGCAATGAATCTCAAGGGCACCAGAAAGAGAAGGCCAATCACAGAGATGAATAGAGGCAATAGATATCTGCAGCAATGAACTTCAAGGGCACCAGAAAGAGAAGGCCAATCACACAGATGAATGGAGGCAGTAGATATATGCAACAATAAACCTCAAGGGCACCAGAAAGAGAAGGCCAATCACAGAGATGAATAGAGGCAGTAGATATCTGCAGCAATGAACCTCAAGAGCTCAAAATGCTAAAGAAAAAGAAAAACCATACTGTCTTTGTTTTATTATGACAGTTACAGTGATAATATGATTACGATGTAACGTAAATGATAACCTTCAAACCATAGTGAATATACAGTGAGTTTTTACATATGGCAATTCGGATATGGTGATTTTCTGTTGTGAAGGACAATCTGTTTATCCTCAGCAATTTTGTCGTTGCTTGAACTCTTATCTGGATAAAAGGAATTTCTGATAAGAAAGAACTATTTCTGGTGTCCCTGTGAGTTCTCCTTATCAGGTCTGCACTGTATGTGCTAACCCCACATTTCTAGATGACAGCTCATGTAGATGGTAAGAACGCTGGGATTTTAAATCAGAAAAGACTGCCTTCTCTGGACGTATCAACAGGAAAGTAGGATGGGAGAGAGGGCCCAAGTGATCAGATGTTAGACATCATGGTATGGAGGCACACCTGTATCCGAAATGATCAGTAATGCAGGAGACATAAGGCTATGGATCAGCTTGATCACCAATGACATAAGGCACTGGCCATAAGCGAACCACTAGACGAATAAAGGAATTTAAATTCTTTCAAGTCCAGAAGGTTTTGGAGCAGATACCCAAGGAGAGAATAACCTTTATGAAGAAAATTACAGCTCCAAGACTTTTAAAGAGGCATAAAATAAACAATGGTAGTGACCACAAGTAAAACCAAATTTCTTATCATATCTTGATAAAATGTTGAAAAACAAATAGGAAAACACATGGCTAGGTCCCTCGTGTGGGTTCCGGGGCCCCATTGTGGGGAAAACAAGAATAGACCCACTGCCTCCCCAAAAGCATGTCGTAGGAGTCGACTAATTGGGGAGCTTCCTTTGAAGTCGGAGTGCATCTGCCGGAGAGGCAAGGAACCAACAGTCTGTATTCAAGAGAATGAGATCTGTAAAACTGATGCACACGCAACACTCAGGTTCTGGAGCAGGACTGCAGTTCAGTAGTGGACTACACGAAAAATTGGCAGCCAGGACAAAAAACAGAATAAAGCGCAAAAGCCTAAACCATCTAACGAAGGAATTTGGAAAGTCATTCTCTTCACTACTTAACCAACAATGTACACCTGAAGAGCTATCTTTCGATCTCTGGGACTCCAAATTATTGACACTCAATGTGTCAACATCCATCCCGAACCTGGGAAACAAAGATGCTGAGCCCGCTTTAGTGAAGAAAGCACTCACAATAGAACACCTCAACAACATGTTCCCACAGGACAGCTGGACAAGAATCTACACGGATGGATCAGCAAAAGAAGCAACTACGAATGGTGGGGCAGGTGTCTACATAAAACACCCAGATGCCACTACTGTGTCCCTAGCAGCCCCCACCGGACGTACTTGCTCTAACTACAAGGCAGAACTCTCAGCTCTATTGATGGCAGCACAGTATATGAACAATCTGCAAATCACCGCAGGCAGGATAGTTTTTCTCACTGACTCACTGTCAGCTATACAGGCCCTTGAGTCCAAACCTACCGACAGCACACTACAAAGTATAACACAGGAACTTGCTATGTTGTCAAATAAGGCAGAAAATTCACTTGCAGGGGATTCCGTCTCACTGTGGCATCAAAGGCAATGAAAGCGCAGATGCTTTAGCCAAGGAAGGCAGTAACAAACTACAGACCTACCAGCCACTATCTTTTCCAGAAGTCAAAACTCTCATTAAGAGAAAATCAGAAAACAGACTGGAAAAAACAACACTGGTTATGACTACGGAAAAGATTTTCTGAGGCACTTGAACAGAACAGACCAAGTCACAGTTTTTCGCTTACGCACTGGACACTGCAGACTCAATAAACACTCATATAAATTAGGTATGAGCCAAACAGCTCTCTGCCAGTGTCTTCGTGCTGAACAGACTCCAGAACATGTCCTGCAAGACTGTCCTCTCCTGGCGGAGCTGCGGAGCGACATATGGCAACACCCAGTAGAACTGACAACTAAGCTTTGGGGAAACCTAAGAGACCTTGAAAAGACATCCCAGTTTATGACCCACAGTGGATTATGCGCATGACCAGAGATCGCTGAAGAAGAAGAAGAAGAAGAAGAAGTAGTGGACGAGCAACCAGAACTTTCTGCCAGAGTGTACAGCTGGTGAACGCGAAGAAGAAGACATGGCTAGGTAGCTGGAATTCAGAGGAGAGAGCCAATGACACATCATAGGACTGAAAGAATTAAGAGTGAGGAAAATAGAAAACATGAAAGGCATCTGGATATCATAACTCAAGCTGGTGTCAAACTCAAGTGAGTGTCAAAACTCAAGTGAGCATCATAACTGAAGTAGCCTCACCTATTTTTTAGAATGTCAAGAAGATAAAAAAAAAAGTGTAGAGTTCATATGATGATGAGGAGATACTTGTTTATGCTCTCCCCCTGCCGGTTCCAGGCCCTTTGTGGAGAAGACAAGAACAGACCCACTGCCTCCCAAACATGCATGTCATAGGAGTCAACTAATTGGGAGCTTCCTTTGAAGTCAGAGTGCATCTGCCTGAGAGGCAAGGAACAACAATCTGGACACAAATAAGCCAGCAAAACAGATGTACAAGCAAAACTCAGGTCCTGGTACAAAGTCCAAATGGAAGAACAACCAGGACTATTCGCTGGAGCTTACAGCTGGTAAACAAAGAAGAAGTTTATGCTCGATCTGTTATAACCTACCTCAAAGCCTCTCGAAGTGCATCAGGTGATTCTGGGGGGAAGTCATATTTGTTAATTATGGCTTCAACTTGCTGACAGGTCAAAGTCTGGACACCTGGAACATACAGATGAGAATATTTTTAACATCTTTACTGACTGAGAAATGAATACATGGCATTTGCAGCTGAATCATTAGTGAAAGTAGAACGAAATAATCAACTAAGTGCAAAACTGATAAGGAAAACTCACAGGGGATCCAAGAAATTGTTCTTCTAATAAGAAATTCCTCTTATCCAGAGGAAAAATTGCCGGGAATAAACAAATTGTTATTCACAAAAGAAATTTACCCCATCTGAGATCGCCTTAAGCACCCATCTGAGATCGCCTTAAGCAATCTGCACTGTATAAGAAAAAATTAGTATTCTTTTCTTCTTATGAATCTTCATCTACTTTCATTCACCTGAAATAAGCAATTCATATTTGCAATTTTGTCGTGCATACAGATTTAATTATCTCTTATCTCTTTTTTCTTTTAGTTGATTCAGCGGTCCATAAAGTATACTTTCCATTGCTTTCTTTTTGGCTAAAAGATTTGCTATAATGTGTCATATTCAGGGCAGGAGTATTTATTCTTCTGTCTAAGGTTTCACATGTGCACTTGACAGATACACCCATTTAAAAACTGTTCCGCACACACGTGGCTGCATAATTGGCTGTGCCCTGTTCTGAAGCGGAGAATAATGACTTATTCTGAGCTAACCATAATAAGGTACTCACTGTGTACCAGGGTTGGTGGTTCTCTAATGAGAGGGGAGCTCTGGGGAACACTGTTCTGAATGTAACGATCAGCTGTACAAGAGGATAGAGACAGACCAAGAGAAAGTATGGACTGTCCAGCATGGGGAAATATCAATAGAAATGCTCGAGAACACCAACAGCCAAAGTAACAAAGACAGGTTTAGGATATTGTGTACATTCAAAAAGCTTTGTGCACAGAAGCTCTGGTTATAGTAGAAGAGAAAGACTCAGATTTTGATGGATAGGGTGTACCAGAGGTCTTCATGTCAAAGTGGTAAAATGATTCACCCCGGGCACTGAAGTTTGTTTTGGGGTAAATTTTCAAACAGTTCATGAGAGTGCATTTTTGTTGTTGAGCCCTGTGTGGGTTTCGGGGCCCGGTTATAGGGAAAACAAGAATACCCAAAAGCATGTCGTAAGAGTCAACTAACAGATAACTTCCTACAAAGTCGAAGTGCATCTGCCTGAGAGGCAAGGAACCACAGTCTGCATATAGACTATTTAGATCTGTCAAACGGATGCACACGCAACACTCAAGTTCTAGGACAGGACTGCAGTCCAGATGTAGACGAACAACCAGAACTTTCCGTCAGAGTTTACAGCTGGAGAACGCGAAGAAGTTGTTTTTGAGATCTCATAAAGTCATCATGACAGTTACAGAGTTCAAATTTTGTGTGATAATCGGGTCAGGTAGTGAGCAGTTCTCTGACAGTGCCTGAATCGGATGAGATAAAACTAAATGCAATGAAGTCTTCCTCTTATTCCCATTTATCAACTGTAAACTCTGGTGGAAAGTTTGCCAGCTTCAGAACTGTGACCTTGTTCCAGCTTATGTGTGTGCAGACTGTTGATACCTTGCCTCTCAGGCAGATTCACACCACAACTTTGAAGGAAACACCGACCCAGTCTAGGGCGGCCAGGCTCCTGGCTGGGAACCTGTTTCCAGGATGACCGAGGGAAGGTGTAGGTAGGTCTTGACCAGTACAAGCCCTGTTTTTAGTGCACCACCACAGGTGTTTCAACACCTGTGCATCCCACACCTGAAGTTAATTCTCTAACTTTCACTCACATACACATATACATCAAGGGATGTATGTGTGTGTGTATATATATATGTGTGTGCATGTACATATGTGTATACATACATGCACAATGTAAACACATCCCTAGGTAGGTCAACTGACACAGGTGGATCTTCTCTTTCTTAATTCATTCTTAAAAGGGTATTTCGACAGACTGTGTTAGGACTGTGACATTGGCTGCTGAAGCTATGAAATTTGTTTGCAGGAATTTGGCTCTTCTGGGGCGAGATATAGCACCACGTGGGATCATACCCTCTGTAATGAAGTCAGTCCTCTTGACTTTATATTTGATGAGACATTTTTAAGGACAACATAAATAAAGAAGAAGAAAAAGATGAATATACCTTTGCTTTCAAACTCTTTAATCAAAGCTTGTAACTGTGCTTCAGTAGGGGCACGACCAAGTGATCGGATGACTATACCCAACTTATTTAATGGAATTGTGTTGTCTGGAGAACAGTGCATAGTGAATGCTTCTTGCAGTTCTGCAAAAAAAAGTAATTTTATGCATATGTGTTAGACAAATATTATTAAACTTGTCTCACATTTAATTATTCATTTACTCAATGTCCTGTAGTGCCATTAGATGTCACATAGGGTTTGCAGTCTATTCCTCTATTTCGTTCCATTCTGGATAATCAGTTCAATATTCTGGATGGAATCCAGTCCAGTCCTTTAGCTTCTCTCATCAACATCCGTACTAGGTTTTTTTTTTTTTTTTAGACGTCATCGCCTCCTGAATCTTTTTCATTTCCCACTTCAGCGCCTGTTTGGGCATTCTTTGCTCGTTTCTTCCAACGATGTATCCAATACAGAACTATCTTCTTTGTCTTATAAATAGTGATACTAGTGGTTGCAAGAAATAAACGGTCAAATAAGACTGACCCATGTTTGCACTTGTTCTTTCAGGGATATTCTGCAATGTTAAATGGATAATGGTGCAGGGGCAACACATGGTTTCTACAATACTGCCCAGCTTTTGTGCAGCAAATAGATCTTGCTAATCATACTCGCCATCACCGCAGGCTGTGACTACCATGCCTCTCTACATTACAGTACTGTTTTAAAAGATGGAGCAGTGACTGCTTCTTCTTCGTGTTCACCGGCTGTAAACTCTGGTGGAAAGTTCTGGTTGTTCCTCCATGTCTGGGACTGGGGACTAGTTCCAAAACCTGAGTTTAGCATGCACATCTGTTTCACAGATCTGGTTTATTTGTAAGCAGACTGCTGGTTCCTCACCTTCCAAGTAGATGCACTCCGACTTAAAAAAAAAAAAAAAAAAACATACCTAGTTAGTCGCTTGTTACAACATGCTTGCTGGGGAGCAGTGGACACAGAACCCACACAGGACAGGAACATTTTATCATTCAAGGAAAAGAACTGGTTTCATTATCAATTTTGCACAGGGTCCATATCAGTAATGTTGAGCATTGTGACCAGATTTTAACCAAATGTTACTGGAGAGAGCAGGTTGTGAAGATGAATGACTGCCCATGCTAGCCAGTAAGGCCAGTGGCGACGATGATTACTTTAGCCTATACTCTCCCATGCCATGATGATAGAGTGGTTTGTATGCTCACTTACCAGCTCTGTGGCCACAGTTTAAGCCTCAGCAGTGACAGGATTGGATTATCCACATCAGTAAATCCAGATTTATGGAAGAAGAATTTAACCTTCTTCTTCTCCTGCAGTTCCTCTTTTACCACTTCAGATAAGAGAGATATAAGCTTCTGCTTCTTGTTCTTCTGGTCACCTTGACCAACAGACACATCATGTTATTATAGTTTCTCTGATGTTATCTTTCATCTTGTTCTTGGTCTACCTAGTGCTCTTTGTCTATATCTTCTTTTGGTCTATGCCTTGCATGGTATGGTGTCACAAGGCATTCTCTCCAAGTGGGCCTACCATTTGATTTGCTGTCTTTGTATGTAATTTATAACTGGTTCAGTGCAGACTTGTTCTCTTATGACCATATTCCTGATTTTATTTCTTCCAGTTACTCCTGCCGCCCTTATAAGAACTCAACAATTTTCTTAACTTATTCTGGAGAAATAGCAATAAGGATCGAAACTGGTCTATTGGCCTTATTATGTAGAGATCTAGCTTATTGGAACCTCAGCATACAAATTTAAATGGTTTCATGACTGACTCGGCTCCTTTGGCAAATAATTATTTTACCCACTAAATTTAATGTAAATAATTTTAAAGTCCACCCCCCGCCCCCACACATCACCCAATTAGTTTCAAAATTATGTTATTTGTTTTGTTAATTGGGAAAATGTGTGACGCTACTTTTTTGTTTCTGACTGCAACTTCTGACCATAGTGCCAAAGGCCATCATCATCAAGTGTGTTGTTGACAGCCTTAAGTCCTCCCTTGGCAATGTTAACCTGACCTAATCCATTTAAACGGTATCCAGAAGCTGTCGGGTAATGCAGGGAGTTCTTGCCTCTCCAGCCCACATCCTGGATTTTGTACCGTATTCTGAGGCAAAATAATTAGCGAGCTTGACCTCATATCCTGAGGTTCCAATGTATATGTAAAATCCCAGAACATTAGCCTTGTTATCAGTAATTGCAACAGGCCCACTTTTACTCTTCTTTTTTTGTCTGACTGATACCAGGTTGTAGCCCAGTTTCGTAGTTTTCTGTATCTGTCTTTCACTTCTCGAGTGGCTTGGTGATGGATTAGTTCATCTTCTTACAGGTTTCGCCTACATCATTTTTCCATGTCTTTCTTGGTCTTTCTCTCATCTTCCTCCCAGATGTTCTGCTGTAAAAAGTCTCATAAGCAACTTGGCCTGGCTGCATTCTCACTAGATGGTCGAAAAATTTCATTCTATGCCTGTCAATATAGTCCAGACATGGTCTTATTCCAACTTTCTCTCTAATACTGGTATTAGTAATCCTGTCCCTTCTTGTGTTGTTAGTGACCTTGCGGAAACAGCACATTTCACATTTTCTATTCTAGTTCCTTCTTCTTTGTCCATATTGGCACTGATAACATAAAGTAGGAATAAAAATGCTATTAATAATTTGCTGTTTTGCTGGAAGGGAGAGATTTGAGTGTCTAAGCAGTGGGACTAACTGGTAGGTGACAGCATTTGCCTTCTGTACTCCGGCTTCTATCTCCCACTTTCACTCAAAGCCAGGAAAACAAACACAGGTGACCAAAAGATATTTTATACAAGTAAACAATCAATATAAATTACCGTCTCTCTTTAAAGGATGCTTGGCCTAGGATTCAGATAGAGAAAAAAAAAATACAAACATTAGAATGCCATAGTAATAATTTTACTGCACAATTTATTTCTTCTACAATTTTCAATTTAGATACTATTAACGTGTCAGAATATTTAAGTAAAATGGAAGCCAGACAGCATTTGATTGATTGTAGACTTTCTCTCCCCCCCCCCCACCCCACCCCTCCCGGCTTCCAAAAGCTCAAGCCATCCCTGAGACTCAAAGTGATGCATTCTGGAAAAATCCCACCCTGTTCAACATCTCAAGAAGTTATAATTATGACACCGTAAGTGGTTACCCAAAGATCTACCTTGGGGGAGCTATCCAACGTGGGTTATGGTAATCGATTTAAGAGTTTGCAATTAGAAATTTATCTTTATGTTATTTTAGAAAAACATTGTGTTTATCATAAATATTACTTTGCAATTCAGCCCACACACACACAAGGAAATCATAACATATGCCACGTCTTTACCATTATAACTTTAAAAATATTTTATAAGTCTTTCCAGAAAGATTGTAATAGATTTTACGGCTCTTCTCCAAACTTCTACCCCGGCATTATGGCGGCCAAACAATTACCCTAACAGGGCCTCAGTCATGTGTAAAATGCGGAATTGTCGGACTTCTGCCGAGGAACAAATCGCGGCAAAACTAGGATTACTTGACAATGTCAAGACATGCAACACTGGAGATGTTAGTAGCAGACGATAATAGCGACCGTTGACAATTTCGAGCGTTTCTGCAGACGATACTAGCAGACAATAATAGTGACCAATGACAATTTTGAGACTCGCAACATTACAGACGATATTAGCGACATGGCGGGGAGACCACGCGCTCCGACACAGATTAGCGTCGTCGTTGTCCTCCCTTTTCAGCATGCCCAAAACGCGGTTAAACTCACTGCCAACAGTATCCCCCGTGCAGCGCGGATGGGGATCTAAACTAGATGCCTGGGACTCACGAGCAAATAAATTAGAGGAAGTTGCAGGAGATGCGGTAGCTGCTGCTCGTGAGTTCCAGCCATCTAGTTAAGCCCCCAATCTGCGCCGTGCGTAGCGGCATGTGGGATACTGTCGTGGTGAGGCATAGTCGCAGAAACAGGTCAGCAATTAACATATTGCTGAGACCCTGTTAGAGCATTTGTTTTGTTATTCGGAGCCAATCCTAGTTTTGCTGCGATTTGTTCCTCGGCAGGAAGTCCGACAAGTCAGCCTTTTTCATAGACTGATGTCTTGTTAGGGTATTTGTTTGGCCGCCATAATGCCGGTGTAGAAGTTCGGAGGAGAGCCCATTTTACAATTTAAAAAAAACAAACACATACAATGAACAGGAAAAGCCACAGCAGAAACTCAAGTGCAGCGATGAGACAGAGGTGAAAAGTTTTCACTGAAAACAAACTACAGAATGTTGCCAAGTTTGTTGTCCCAATGTATTTCAGTATTTCTAGGCTATGCCGCTATGGGACCTAGTCCTAGTCATAATCATCAATGATGACAAACTAAAACTACTACAACTCATTGCGGTTTAACTTTTGACACTAATTATTCATGAAATTTTTTTTAGTACAAAGTGAAATATATTGAGCCAGTTTTATATAATAAACCAAAATAAATACGTCTGCGCCTCTAAATGAAAATAAAAGGGCGTTGTCTTTTAAAATTCTTTATTCTACTGGTTGACTTTCCATGCAACAGGAGTCCGTCCGGACAGACACTAACTGAATCAATTATTCATATCTACACATGAAAATAATTAGCTGCATCTATTAGCTTTCAATAAACTAAAAGAATTGGCAGGGAAGAATGTGTTTTCTTTAAACATATCTACCATTTCAGAGATTTCTTCAATTTGCTGAGACAACCAGAATTACTCTGAGGAATTTCCTGTTTGGGGAGATCTACTTCTAAAGTTCGGCTTCTGCACTTCTGTTGTAATAAATTAAAAACTTGGAACTCTAGTAGCGAAACCCTCTATTCGTCTAAGGCGTCATACGTGTAAAACAATAAAGTTTATTATTTCAAAAATATAAAATATACAAATTAAATTATTATATTATATTTTAGCTTAATTTATCTTTTATTATTTTGTATTATAATGATGTTTTGTAAAAATACATTCGTGGGATTAACACAGGTTGGAACAATTTTAGAATATTTCCAGGACTATGATCACAATAGTTGATGACGTAAAGCACAAGACTTTCAGAAGTGAGAATTTATATTGATCAATCGTCGACCAGGAGAAGAAACGTTGTCTTTTTTATATATTGTACTGACTTTGTTAATTTGTTGAATTTGTAGCTGTTTGATTACAGTTATGCCTCTCTATGAAGGTATAAGCATTGGAGATGAACTGAAGGTGATAGTTTTGGATATAGGAGCTGCATACACAAAGTACGTACAAATGTATTATTTATTGTTTAGAAATTAAATAAGTTAAAGTTTCTGTTACTAACTACCGGTTTTTGTCTGCTACTGATTCTTTTCTTGCAGTCTCTGAATACCGGGATACGTTTTGGTATGTAAATAATAATAACAATGATAAGGCCCAACGTAAATTATAGACTTTAATCAATGGATTTAATTTAAAGTTTTAACCCATTGATCTTGCAAATGTTTTTTTTTTTTAAAAAAAGGGCAATAAAGCCCTGGAATTAACTGAACAAATCCTTTAATTCACACAGGTCATTGCTTTTGCTTTCCACAACATGTCCTGCTACCCGTTTCAGTCTAAGTCAGTCTGGAGTCAAAAGAAAACTGCTGATCGAAGTTTTTTGTTGATGTATTAGTTAGGAGTTAAACAGTGTAACAACCCCCCCCCCCCCCCAAAAAAAAAAACACCACAGACTGCTGTGTATACGAAAATCATAAAGAGAGCTGTGTTTACATTTTGTTCATTCAGATGTGGACTGGCTGGTGAGACCGGGCCAAGGTGTATTATCCCTAGCAAGGTCACCAATACAAGAACAGGGCAGGTAAGTCATGGCTGATTGTACAGTCCGTATTTACAATATATAAAACACAGATAATACCTATTGTTATTATTGCTATGAAACCCGGAGTACAACTAAAAAAGTTGAAGCCTTGTTTCAAACTTTGTTCTTATGACAAATCTTTTTACCTATAAAATATGGAAACAGCGAGAAAGAGAGAGTGAAAAGCCACAACATAATTAATAATCTGTTTAAATCATCACGAATTACTGCATTTGCATAGATTTTTATCCATGTATGGGGCGTCGCAGGCCTAAAATGGGTTACAGGATGTATGTCCAGGGGAAGTAAAGATGGCCGGTGTAATGCTGACCACATTACCTACTTACTGCTGATTGGTTTGTAAAAATATTGGTGCTCTTCCCATATGCCCAGTGCGCCTAAAGGCGTGAAAAAAGGATCTTTAAATTTTTTTTTTATTTACTGCATAATGAGAGCTAGTAGACTGCAGTGGCTGTGGCATATAGAGAGGTTTGTGGATAGCGGAGAGACAAAAACTGTATACAAATAAGTAGAATGGGAATAGACCATGAGGCAGACCAAGAAGACAATGGAGAGATAATATACAGGCAGGCCTACACTTAGTGTCAGCAGCTGGAAAGAGAAAGCTAGTAACAGATGAAGGAAGGTGGGTGATCTGCAACAGTAAAGCTCAAGAGTAGATGCATCATTCCTAGCCAGGTCACCAATCAAGATCTGATTTCTGAAGTCTTCTTCTTCTTCAATCCTTCTGTTAGAAAACTTATATCAGGAGGCCGGTAATCTTAATGAAAGCTATCATGCAGTCCATATCCTCTCATGTACCATACAGTTTTGTCTTTATTGTGGTTGGAACAGGCCAGAATGTGTCTCTGTTATTAACCTACAGTTGACAGTGTTGGAGCACATTCTCAGTATTTTTGGGTGCCATGCTGCAGGACCACATCTCTGTGTTTCATACACTGAAAAGTTGACATTCAAGAATGTATCTTGACACCATGTTTGTGGAAAAATAATCTACCATACTATCTGTACCTTAAGTTTCTTAAGTAATATATTATATTTTATAATAAATATCAGCCTTGCACCGCTTATTGAGGTCTTTTTAGCTTAGAGAAGAAAAGAAGAGCTTTACAGCATAGTCCTTGTGGGAATGACATTTTGAAACCTACCTGAGAGAAAAGTGTCCCTACCATCCTCACTTCGATAGATGCTGGTCTTTTTCAGGACTCTGATGATCTGAATATAGTGCAGTCTACTTAAGGCGATCTCAGATGTGGTGAAATTCTCTTGTGAAGAGCAATTTGGTTATCCCTGGCAATCTTTCTTGCTTGAAATCTTATCTAGATAAGAGGAATTTCTAGATAAGAACTATTTCTTGGGTTCCTAGTGAGTTCTCCTTATCAGGTCAGCGCTGTGTCAGTACATCATTGGCGAATTGTCTTCATACAGACCGTGTGTAAATTTATATGTTGAAGGAAAACAAATGGCTGTTAGTTAGTTTTGATTGACGTGTATGCTTTGCTAAGATATCATATTTGCCAGTGTTTTAGTGTAGCATGCAGAGTACTTTTTAAAATGTGAATATCTTGTCGGCTATTCCCCCCCCCCCCCCCCACCAGCATGGCTTTGGGTTGTTGTTATCGATCCAGCTGTGCATGAGCTTTTGCTCCTTTGGCCCAATGCCATATAAACAAGAATCATAAAAAACGGGTAACAAACAGTTTTCCTAATTGTTTGGGAAGGAAAGGTGATGAGAAAGTGAAATGGTTGCTTCACCTCATTCGTCATGCCCTAGACCAGTGTTTCCCAAAGTGGGTGCTATCGCCCCCTGGGAAGTGGGGGTGGGGGTTAGCTGCCTTAATCAAATTTAGCTGACGGTCCGTGTGGGCGTTTTTAGTTTCAGGTGACAAAAATAAATTACATTGCATCATTATGTTTGTTTGATTACAGAAGGTATTTTTTAAGGCAAGGAACAGACTCAAGAACTTGACGACAACTGGCAAGATTAATAGACAGAGGGAAGGGGGGAAAAAGTAATTTTTAAAAAAGTAAAGAACCTTTTTCCACGCCTTTAGGCGTATAGGGCATATAGAGCTAGACCTATATTTTTATAGACCAATCGGCACAAGATGGGTGATGTGGTCAGCATCACGCCGACCGGGACTGGACCCGGTACCCACTCAAGGCTGGGTCGACCTGGGGAAGGGAGAAAGCAAAAAGATAAATAACTTGACGGCTTGGCCCCATGCATGGGATGGGACAAGAACACTGACCTGATCCCTGATCATGCTGATTGTTAAGGGTGGCGGATCATGACTACCTATGTTTATCAGCATGGCACATAAGGATGAAGAGATTTTCAGGCAGAGGGGTGCTGAGCGATTTTAAAAATGTGTGAATTTATTTTTATTTATTTATATATATGCGAAGGCCAGAACTTTTATATGTCAGTAACAATATCTGTAATGGGGCTATCTTTATTTTCTACTTTGTTGTTGTAGGTGACCAAAGTGTGGGACTACAGAAGCCCAAGTGAACTGTATGAGACACTGAAAGAACTGCTCCATGTTATTATTTTCAGGTAGGCATTTTCAGTACAACGGCCAGTGCACTTTTTTTCTGTGATTTCAGAATTTTGTTTTGTTGGAATAACAATTTTGACATTTCTCTCTCTTGCTGTCTGATTATGTGTGTATACATTTGATATTATATGATTTTTTGGCAGGTGTCTGTCTGTCCATCACCTACTCCTTTGTGTATCTTCCGATCCATTGCAGTTTTAAATTGTAATAATTTTTTTGAGTTTTTTAGAAGAAACAAAACAGTGATTGTAGTCACTCAGGAAGGGCTACTTGTGACCGGCTATTTTCATAATGATAGAGGCTTGATGCTTTCAACGGTGCTTGTAATACATTATTTATATTCCTTGTGTTCTGACTAATCACCCAGTTAATGAAATAATGGTAAAACATGTTACATAATTGTTATTACTGGTTGAAGCTGCCTTATGTAATAATTACCACTGGTTTCTTTACTGGCACCATTCTTACATCCACATCAGACAGTTGCTGGTCACGCCAAAAGATCGCAGAGTTGTGGTTGTGGAATCATTGCTGTGTCCTTCAGATTTCCGAGAAACGCTAGCCAAGGTTTTGTTCAAGCATTATGAGGTTCGTATTGAATTTTCAGCTTGAGTAAATGTCATCTCATTGTGGGAAATTTATTGTGAAAATTTATGACAAAATTATGGAAAGATCATAAAAATTCTACTTCAGCATTATGTGTCTGTGGTTGAGGTGGTCAGAAGAGTGAGAAGCAGAACCTTACATCTCCCTGGACAGGCTGAGAGGTAAAAAAAAAGTGAAGACAAAGAAGTGAAGTTCATTCACATTTATAGCTACTGAATTAGTATGAAAGATTCAGAGTATGCTGGTATGTTGAGGAATAAACAGGAATTAGCTGGTTCTAGGTTAGGCTTGGTGATAATTTGATGCATGACAAGGCAGATGTGATCTAGACTTTTTAGGGAACATGCGAACAAGTCTTAACCCTACCAGACCTAAGATCCTGAACCTAACTGCCCACTATACCTGAGCTCCTGGGCTTTAACATGAAAAATTCAACAGGATATAAAAAAAAATATTAGTTACATGCAGACAAATGGTTAGAATAAAATGAAACTTGGATTCATTGTAGAAAATAGGTTTACCTTACATCTGGCACCAATATTCCACCTCTGTGTGTCAATCCACCCAGCAGGATCAGCCTTGTTTCACAAAGTGAGCACCAGATGTTGCTGTTTGTGGGACACGCCCCCTCATTTAACTATTGATCTAGTTTTAAATCTATAATTTTCAAGATTCTCCTCATCACTCGAGCTCTGACTGACTGTGTCACTTCAACTGTATTCTTCATGAAATTCTGACTCCTCAGAATGATTCAGACTCTGAGGAATCAGAATCAATCAAAGTATCGATCACCTGTTGCACTGTAAAAAGCCTAGACCTACTTCACTTTCCTGTCCAATTGCTTGGTTCATCAGCCGCTCGTTTCATTGTAAATTTTCAGAATATTTTTGTGTTAAACCATCATCATCATGTAGCAAGTCCTTCGCAGAACGTCGCTCTCATCACAGTCTGCCTGAAAGAAACTCGGTCTCTCGCCAGTTTTCCCGCCTCCTGCACTTTCATGCTCAAGGAGTCACTTATATCCGGTGCCCATCTTCGTGTCGGTCGGCCCCTGCCCCTCCTTCCTGGTACCATGCCTTCTGCTAAAGTTTTTTCCAAACCGTTGTGGCGCTTGATATGACCAAAATATTTCCAAAAAAGTATCTACCGGAATAAGTGGACACCTCTGGGGTGCCCTCTGCTGTTAGCAGGAGCATCACAGAGCAGGGCACTCACTTGCCTTAGCAATCTAAAAGGTTGCTGCAGGCTGAGGACGTAGTCTAAAGCCATGTGGATGTGAAAAGCAATGGGAAACTACCATATTACTATCCCAAGAAACTCATGTTAAACCACACAAAGTAAATCCAAACGCACGTGGGCAGACATCTGAAATGACTAACCATGAGGTCTGACCATGATTGGCTAGTTATTTTTAGTTTGTGACGCATTGTTTTCATGTAGTACTCAAAGTACCGACAGTGAGGTACAGCGGTTTAGTGGCAGATTAGGAAATTACTGCAGAAGCTGTACATCGGTCTGGTAGAGTTAAAATCAAGTCGATTATCATGGATTGAAGAGAATGATGTGGAAAGTGATCAAAGGATCTGGTCGATACTCAACGAAGCTGAGCTAGTTATGTAATCAGACTGCAAGTGGCAACATTGCTGTTGAAATCTGTGCTGGCTGTTGCTGATTTATTGATTGAACAATCAACATCACTACACACCGGGCATACCCATTGGTGCTTCGTCTCCTGCAGCAAAGATGTAGCTGCTAAATTTTCTTGTAACTCACTGATTATATACATATCTTTCTCTTTCTCGCATACGTTCACCCTTGCCAGATCCACTCCTAATTCTTCTTTCACATGTGATTTCATCTAACCTCATGTCTTCTATCAATATATATTCGTATATTGTTTTTACAATGTGTCCCTTGTCCAGTACAGGTGTTCCTGTAGCTATTACTTTTGTAGCCAGAAAATTTGCTCTTTCATTCCCTCCTCACTCCTGCATTCCGGACAGTATATAGACGTGATTCCCTGCAATGTTAAAATACTTATTATTTGTATTTAGTCATGCTACATTTGTCCATTTTAAAGTTTTGCAGTACCGGCTGAGAATCAGAGGCTATAATTGGTCGGGTAACTTTATTTTCTGCTATCCACCTCAGAGGTGCAGTGTTTGTCTCCACCTCCATCCTCATGCTTGAAGTTGCAGATAAAAAAGCTTCATTTTCTGCGCCACAATCTTTCCCTTCATTCCAGCTGAAAAATTCCCAGCCATATCTCACACCGTGATAAACAGAAGCATTGGTCTACACTATTGCATCATCTATTTCAGCGTTTTCATCTGTCATTTGTTGTACCTCTAATTGTAACATACCGTTATACCACTCTTCACATTCACTTCCTAATGTGGTAATGACCTGATGGAAACTGCTGTTGTGGGTGTTCATGTCTACTATTCCTGCCTCCTGTGTATTTGCTCGACTGAGGCCATTGTCCCATTGGTATCTTCAGCTAGTGCCATCCATGTCTCTCCTCTTCTCAACCGGTCTTCTCTCAAATCTCTCAGACTGCCGTGCAGCAGATACCTTTCAGCTTAATTAATCTTTAAGAATCAGTTTAATATAACTGATCATTCACCCGACTAGCTGTGAGTAATGAAGAAAGTGGCCGGTCTGCACATTCCAAATCAAACCCACTGAAAATACTAGTCTTGCTGTTTTACTACATAACTAGATTTGTGTCTGTGTGTTGTCTGTCTGATAATGAATTGGGAAAATGTCATTGTGCAGTGATGTTGACTGTGATAGCATTAGATAACATTGTAAAATGTAATCCTTTTAAGGTTGGATCTGTGTTGTTTGCGCCCAGTCATCTCTTGTGATGTTGACTGTGATAGCATTAGATAACCTTGTAAAATGTAATCCTTTTAAGGTTGGATCTGTGTTGTTTGCGCCCAGTTATCTCTTGTGATGTTGACTGTGATAGCATTAGATAACCTTGTAAAATGTAATCCTTTTAAGGTTGGATCTGTGTTGTTTGGGCCCAGTCATCTCTTGTCAATGCTGACCATAGGCTGCAATGTTGGCCTGGTGATGGATGTTGGCTACCAGGAAACTTTGGTTGTACCTGTATCCTTTCATACAATCTTCTGTGTAGTTAGGGAGGCTTTTTAAATACGTACTGTATTTATGCGTCTGTAGGTCACAGTATTGTGATTGAAAAACTGTAATGAAAAATGTAACTTTACGTGTCGTAGTGATCCACTCACAGAAGTTAGATAAAGAGGCTTTCTTCTTCGGTCTGTGTCACTTCCGTTTAGCTGTATTCCCAGTCACAATAGGAATGCCACATATGCACCTTAAAACATCTGTTAATGAAGTGTTGAGTGCTTGTAACATGCCACTCATCACTCCTGGTGTCATAACCATATCACACTTCTCTTGCCGTAATGTCTCCTTCACTTTTTCTGTTAAATGACCCATGAAACTGTCCTTGACTAGCTTACATACCCATCTTTCACTGCTCACAGGTACTACTGTTTCGGTTCTCTCCACAAAATTCTAAGAACATTATTTTTTCCTGAAATTATTGTCTCAAAAACTGGTTTCGGCCTATATGCGCATAACTACAGTGCTCAGCTTGAGATATGACTAATATGACTGATAACATTGATGTGACTAATATGACATATGTCTGATATGAATGATATGGTTGATATGACTGATAGCATTGATGTGACTAATATGACTGATATGACTGATAACATTGATGTGACTAATATGACATATGTCTGATATGAATGATATGGTTGATATGACTGATAGCATTGATGTGACTAATATGACTAATATGACTGATAACATTGATGTGACTAATATGACATATGTCTGATATGAATGATATGGTTGATATGACTGATAGCATTGATGTGACTAATATGACTGATATGACTGATAACATTGATGTGACTAATATGACATATATCTGATATGAATGATATGGTTGATATGACTGATAGCATTGATGTGACTAATATGACTGATATGACTGATAACATTGATGTGACTAATATGACATATGTCTGATATGAATGATATGGTTGATATGACTGATAGCATTGATGTGACTAATATGACTGATATGACTGATAACATTGATGTGACTAATATGACATATGTCTGATATGAATGATATGGTTGATATGACTGATAGCATTGATGTGACTAATATGACTGATATGACTGATAACATTGATGTGACTAATATGACATATGTCTGATATGAATGATATGGTTGATATGACTGATAGCATTGATGTGACTAATATGACTGATAGGACTGATAACATTGATGTGACTAATATGACATATGTCTGATATGAATGATATGGTTGATATGAATGATATCACTGATATGCCACCAGAGAAAAAGTGGTCTTTTTGAATCTTCACAAATACTGACCAGTTCTTTAGTGGATGCATTAGCAATCAAAAACAAGGCTTTTGTAAGACTCAGTTCATTGAATTAAATAACAAAACATGCTTTTAGAATAAGAGCGTTGTTTCTTAACTGTGATTAAAGGTATTTGAGGGAATACCTATCATGAAAGGCTGGCAGACTATACCATTTGCTGGTAAAGCCATTGAGAGGTTGGTATGCATGTTCTTTATGTGAATCTAGTTGTTATGTTTACCAGTAAAATATCTGATGATTCGTTTTACAATCTTAAGTGTCTTGCCGACTGGCGTGGGTAATCATCCCTCTCCACAATCTGCTATCTCCAGCAGTATGTAGTAGTTCATGTGCTGACTCCCCTTCATGCTCTGATGTGCTGACACCCCTCCACATTTTTATGTGCTGACACCCCTCCAAGCTCTGATGTGCTGACATCCCTCCATGCTCTGACAACAGCAAGAATCTTCTCGTATTGTCTTCCTGTCTCTTTTTCCCACAAATCTTTGCAGTGATCACATGTTTCAGTTTCCTTCTTCTCATAACATGAAAAAAAAAAAAAGGATGACTTATCACTTTCTGATGTTTCTGATAAGTTGTATAAGTTGTCTTTGAGCCCTCGCCTTTCTCAAGACATATGGGCTACTCTTTTTTGTTTGTTTGTTGGCACTCCAAGGAATTTTATGGATTCTACTGTGAAACCATATCTCCGAAGCCTCAAGAAATTATTTGGCTTTTTTAGTAATTGTCAATAATTCCTAGCCATATTTTAAAACTTGTATATTCATTCATTAATTCATTGTCCTCTCGTGCCATTATATATTACATAGGGCTCACAGTTTTTCTTCCAACATATTCTGTTGTGTGGAGTCCCTTTAATATCATGGATTGAATCCTGTTCAGCACCTTTGGCCTCTCTCATCATCATTAGTTCTAGGGTTTCGTTAGGATGTCTTCACTTCATCATAGGATGCTAGAATCTTTTTTTGTGATTACATGTTATTCTTTGTTTGTTCATAAGTTAAAAGAATGTTATTTTAACATTTGCCTTGCCTTGATGGTCCAGTGACTAGTACACTTGTCTGCCAACATCATGGTGTGGGTTAAATCTCAGCAGAGGCAGATTTAATCGTTTTCTACTATTGTGGATCTGGGGTTAACCCAGATGCAAATACTGAAAAAAAAAATGTGGTCATTAAGCCGTGAAAATTTCTGAAAGCCACATTGAGATGAAATTTTCCCAAATCCTCAGTGATGAAGATAACAAGGTCACATCATGAGTCACCCAATACAGAGGTTTTTAGCCCTGAGAAATGTATACCATTTATTTCTTTACTCTGATTACTTCCTTCGTATATCTTGATAGATTTTGAGGTAAATATGTAAATGAATAAATTTGTTACAAATTGATTAGTCATCTCTACAATTTCATTAAAGGTATTTTCTTCAGGAAATTAACGGGCTTGGGAACCTTGTTTTTAGTGTTCCCGGGACGAGAGGGTTAAACCTCCAGATTTTGAGAGGTCAGATTACTGAGTATTAAATTACATTGGTGTTGTTTTTAAATATCTCTTCTTGAATAACTCTTGTTTATAGGGGAAGAATGTGCATTTATTTCCTGTATCTTAAATATGTGTCTCAGTCTAAAATGGGTACTAGGTAATGTTCCGGGAAATGAAAGTGGCTAATGTGACGTTGTCCATTGAGTGCTAGTGGTCTACACAAAAATATATAGGTCTAGCACTGGTTTTTGCCTGATGTGTCAAAGGGGTGAAAAGGGTCTGTTACTTGACTTTTGTTTTGACTTCTACCTTAGTTATGATCTTACACTTCTCTTTTGATGCACCGGTTGTAAACTCTGGTGGAAAATTCTGGTTGTTCGTCCACTTCTGGACCTTAGTCTTGTTCCAGAACTTAGTTTTGCTTGTAAATCCTTTTTACACCATTCCTGACTTGTTTGTTTGCAGACTATTGGTGACTTGCCTCTCAGGTAGATGCTCTGTGACTTTGAGGGAAATGCCCCTGATTAGTTGACATTTGTGACATACTTGTTAGGGTGCAGGGGGTTCTTTTTCCACCAACATTGGGGCCTCAGAACCCACACCAGAACATTATTCTGGTGTGATTTTGACTGCATGACCCACCCAGTGCCGATTGATCTATAAAATCTAGGTCTAGCCGTATATGCCCATTATACCTGAAGGTGTGGAAAGGGTGCTTTACTTTACTGTAAAATTATTGTTTCATTGATTTCATTTAACTTGTGGCATTTACTTTGTAGTCGCATTAAGACCCAGTTGATGGAGCATGGGACCATTAGTACACCCGAGCAGCAGCATGAAGCAGTGTCCACTATACCAGGTAATACTAACAGTCAGTGGTTCACTCATTGTGAGCTGTTTAACTATTTGGAGAACATGTAACCTAACATGTTTTCTTGATCACCTCCAAAGACAAGATACTGTTTTTGCATTCTCCTTAATGAGTTATTCGTCTTGTTTTGTCATCTCACTACCAGGTTCTAGCCCAGTGTCATTGTTTTCTGTATTTGTTTTGCACTTCTCCTGTGGTTTGGGTGGTGGATTTGTTCATCTTTTTGCAGGTTTCAGCTATACTGTTTATCCTTCTCTTTCTTGGTATTTCCCCCGACTTCCTCCCAGATATTCATCTGTTAATAGCCTAAATTACAGTTTGGTCTAGCTGCATTCTTACTGAATGGCAGAACCATTTCATTCTTCTTCTGTCAATATAATTCAGACAGGTTCTAATTCAGACTTCTTTTTTCTTAAACAGATAAATGCTACTTTCACTCTTTCAGAACGAGAGAGTTTTCAAAAGTGATGCTAAAATGAAGAAATAAACATGATGGAAAAGCATAATTGCATTACTTTCCAAGTGACAATAAGCACCCTGGTAATTACATTGGAGAAGGCAGATTTCTTTAGTTTGTTCTGACTAAATGCTAAACTGAAGAGATCGCACGATGCAACAAAGGGAAATCAAGAGAAAGTGTCAGTCACACACCCTGTTACTTGGGCCTGAAAGAGTGGACAAACTGTATCCGATTTGTAAGTGATTTGTAAGTTTACAGTCTTTTGTCTCATCTTGTGTAACTCCTTAAAACTTTCAAGTATAGCATCTTGGAGTATAACGTCCCTGTGTGGGTTCCAGTTTTCCATCCTTCTATGCTTTCATAGCCAACGCATCTATAGTGTCCTATATCCACCTTTGCGGAGGCGGGCCTATGTTTCATGTTACTGAAACTGCACTCTCCATACCCCCATGACATTTAACATGGTCAAAATACCTCTACTTTCTTCCTCTTCTTGTTCGCATTTACTCCTGCTGGAAGGTCTCGTTTTTTTGTCCACCTCCAAAATCTTGTTCCAGAATCTGAGTGCTGTATGCTCATCCATTTTACATATCTGGCTTATTTGTATGCAGACTCTTGGTTCATTGCCTTACAGGCAGATGCATTCCTACATTGAAGGATGCTCTCAGTTAGTCGACTGTTATGACATGCTTGTTGGGGAGGGATGGGTCTTTTCTTGTTTTCGCGAGGAGAGCTTTATGTGATGTAAAATGCACAGCAGGATATTTAATATCACAGTGGTGTAAAACCTGACAGGAAAAGACAGCCAATGGTTGGCCAACATGATGTTAGATAATGACATTAAATACATGTATTCCCTGGTTGAGAAACTGCATGTGACAGAGGGAACCAGTAAAGGATTAAGAAGCTTTCTAGTACAAGAAAATCTTGTTACATGAACTAGCTAAACTCTTTATGACCCAAGAAGCGCACAATGTGTGCTTGAATTTTGTTAATCTCTGTGAATCACATTTTGTATGTTTTTACATTTTTGATGAGAGACTCTTTAGCACTCTGACAGCATACTGTTTTCCAGCAAGGAAAGTGTGTTTGGATCATGTAGAATTAATACACCAGTGAGTCTGGTGTCTTTCTTTTTGTCTCGCTGGGCCATCAGCTGTTACCTTCTGGGACTGCGCATGTTAAGAAGAACACCCAGTTAACATAAACAAAATTTTGGTCCTGCAGTGATGTATTACTGTTATTAGCCCTGGTTAATACACATTTTTTAACATGGACTGGATTTTTGATCCCTTGGAATTCGTGTTAACGAGGTTTTACTCTAGTTAGAAATGTGAAATGAGAATTATATCCTGGAAAGAACTTGCTACGTAATGATCAACCTTAGCTATGCAACTATCCAGATCTCACAACACTGTCTTCTTCAACTCTTCTGTTTCTTGTGTTTATAGAAATAGCTGTAACCTCAACACAGACAAATGTTATTACCATGTTTTCAGTATTTAAAATCATTACGTAAATAATGCCTCATATTTTTTTTCAAATGTATTCAAAAGTTAATATAATTAACAGTTGCTTATTATTCTTTTAAAAAATCTTTTCAGATGTTATTACTGAGGAAATACTTGAAGATATTAAAGGTATTTTAAGTCTAATTTATGTCATTGTCCTGTAGTGTTCTTTGTTGTTGTAAAACTGGTTGTAAATTCCATTCATATGAAATTGAACTTTTCATCCTCCACAAAGAATTCTAAATAATTTTCATTTACCCACCAGAACTCAGATTTAGCTTTGTTTCCCCACAGAACATCTACTTGTTCCATTCCCACCCAGAATACCTCTTTAGTTCCATTCTGCCACAGAACATCTACTTGTTCCATTCCCACTCAGAATACCTCTTTAGTTCCATTCTGCCACAGAACATCTACTTGTTCCATTCCCACTCAGAATACCTCTTTAGTTCCATTCTGCCACAGAACATCTAGTTGTTCCATTCCCACTCAGAATACCTCTTTAGTTCCATTCTGCCACAGAACATCTAGTTGTTCCATTCCCACTCAGAATACCTCTTTAGTTCCATTCTGCCACAGAACATCTAGTTGTTCCATTCCCACTCAGAATACCTCTTTAGTTCCATTCTGCCACAGAACATCTACTTGTTCCATTCCCACTCAGAATACCTCTTTAGTTCCATTCTGCCACAGAACATCTAGTTAATTCCTACTTCTGCACATCCTGCCCCCCCCCCCCCTTCCCAGTCCCATACAATGAAGATCCACTAATTAATTTCATCTCCAACACAGAACATCTAGTTATTTCACTTAACCACATAATGCAACTGATGTATGACAAGCTGGATATTGTGAGGGCCCTTTGAGAGCGAGTGAACAGTGCCGAGGAACAGATAGATCTTTACGGTCTGAGGAGAATGGCCCTGGGAGAAGTTACAAGAGGATCTGGCACTCAGGGGAAAGGCAAGATGGATATACAATCAGAAAGTTACTGGTGCCATTAGAATTTTAACTCTTTGCTTGCTGCTGAAGATGGGGACAGAGTGCTTATGCGGGTGTTCCAAGTGCTGTGATGTCGATTCTTAATTCAACATTCAACCCACGTCATTTGTACAGATGTTGAAAACAGTACTAAAATACTAACCTTTTATTATAAGTATCACACATCTGTCTTTTCACTTATTTTGTTGTTTATTTTCTCAACAGTACGATGCTGTTTTGTAACTGAGTACTCACGAGGCCAGCAGATTCAAGACGTCACAATGAGGGGAGCTCATGCTAATACAGTAAGTTTTCTTTACAAAATGATCTCTAAATTGTTTAAAGTCAGATTCATTCATTGGATTATCCTGTATATCTGTCTCCGTCCAGTGAAACCTAGGTATGTGCCGAGGATGTTGCACAAATCACTAACCAGTAGCTCCAGCTGTGGTCTCCAGTGATCCCATTTTAAAAAATGCGTACATGAACTGATAATGCGTCTGTGAAACCAACACATGATTTTCAAAACTCAAGGCAAATGGTGATTTGGCTGTGAAGACTCTCATCTACATTGTTAACTAAGAACTAACTTCATATTGTCCACATTTGCCATACAAGACAAGTCTGTTCTTCATCTTCGTGCACACTGGCTGTAAACTCGGGCTGTAAACTCCAGCAGAAAGTTCTGGTTATTCATCCACTTCTGGACTTTGGTCTTCTTCCAGGACTTGAATTCTGCTTGATCATCCATTTTACAGATCTAGCTTACTTGTATGCAGACTGTTGGTTTTTCTTCTCTCAGGTAGATGCATTCCAACTCAGAAGAAAAACTCCTAATTATTCACCTTTTATGACATACTTTTGGTGGGGGTATGCCCCCCCCCCCCCCCCCCCCCCCGTGTTCTCGGAACCCATACAGGGACACAAAAGCCGATTAACCACAACGGCTTTGCTGTATCATTATTGTCAGGTACTGCCCCAAATCAGAGTACATAATATCAAACAACATTAAGGTTTTTTTGTTTGTTTCAAATATTCCAACTTTGATAAATTTTTTCATAGACAAAGAATTTGCATTTATTCCCTGTGTCTTAAATGTGTCACTCCCAGGTTGACCCAGCTGAAATGGGTGCCAGGTAATGTCCTAGGAAATAAAGGTGGCTGATGTGACGTGTTCATAACTTCAGTCGTCTTCTGGGCCATTGTCAGTGCATTTCACAATTTTCTCCTCTGATTATTTTACCCTCAACATCTTCCTAGTTATGGGGCTCCTCATGGCAAAGTGGTCAATCTGTTTGCCTCGTGCTCTAAAGGTCATGGGTTCTTTTTGTCGCTGCACCGTTCATGAGTGCAGTTTTTACGGAAATCCCTGTGAATCGTCTATGGAGCTCGTGCTTTGTGCGACGTTCTCAGCAGGCGGCTAGCCGTTCTGTGGAGACTGCGATGTGTGGAATAAAACCGCTTTAACTCTAACTCTTCTTAGTTGTAGAGTTTTCTCTAGTCCTTTTCATCTTAGACAAAAAATAGCAGTTGTCTTGTCATAGCAATAGATGAATTATAATTCTAAAGGACCAACCTAATCTTTTTTTTTTTTTTTTAATTTCTGACCCATCAGGCATATGATCCTAGATTTGTATTTTTATAGATCATTCGGGACTTATGGGGGACAAGGTCAGCATCATCCTGGCTGCCTTGACTTCCACCGACTTTACTTGGTACCCATTTCTAAACTGGCTTTAACTGGGAGCCGATGGCATTAAAATATATCTGATCTGTTGTGGATTTGAACCTAAAACATTTAGGCCTGTCATAGCATTATCAGACCATAGTTGATCAATGTATGTTCCTTTTTTTCTGTTCACTGCCATGTTTTAAATTATCCCTTATGTTTATCTGTTACTTTAATGATCTTTTACTGTAGTTGCCACCACCACCTCCAGACACTGATTATCCTTTGGATGGCGGCAGTTTACTCAATGTGACCGGACGTCTCAGGTAATCATGAATTTCATGTTAAGTCAGCATCTTCTTCTCTTCTTCTTTTTCTTCTCATTCACCCCCCCCCCCCCTCAAAAGGGTAGTTAGCATTTTCTTCAAATGGAAGAACAACCAGGACTTTCAGGCTTACAGTCGGTGAACAAAGACGAAGAAGAAGTCCCATAGCACTTACTACCCTTGAGATTTGAAGTTTAAGGCCTTCATATGTTCTGAGCCGCTGCATATCATGTTTAATCAGCTACTAACAGTTCCAACTTCAAGCAAACGGGTCACCCCATTCCTGTGCAAATGGAAATCATACAGAATTTCCATCGCTGTCCCTTGTGAAAAATGGACACAGGTTGCAGTCTCAACATACACAGGCCTTAAATGCATAGGGCAGCACAAGTAGTTCAACACTGGAAATGCAGTTTATCATCAGTGGAAGCAGCAGCAACTGCATGTGAAGTGGTCAGATCCCTTTCTTGCCCTCTCTTCATCCCAGGACGGACTGAGTTTCTTTCAGGCATGCTATGGTGGGAGTGGCGTTCTATAAATGACCTGCTACGTGATGAGGGTCAACCTCAGAGCTGTACTGTTTGTAAAAAACAAATAACTGTGCACCTTGGTTTGGAAAATGAACAGGCAGACAGACTGACTGGTTCTGCACTACTTGGTGGTGAACTGATGTTTGATGAGCTAGACGTGATGATAGCTTTTTGGGAGTTAGCGAACAGTGCAGAAGCACAAATACACCAGGATGGTCTAAGTAAAAAAAAACCAATACAAATAAATACATAAAGGAAGTTTATAATAGTATTTTCCTCTTTTGAATTTAAGGACACAAACAATACATTGTATTTTTTGTTAAAGTTCAAGGCTTATTGCTCTGTATCTTGTCGAACACTTTACTACAGAGTTCCATCAGCATATGATAAGCACAAAAACTGAATTACTGTAACTAAAATACAAATTGTTTCTCTCGGTACATTTTTCCTCTAATTGCTGGAAGTTCATGATAGTTATGTGACTTACACATTTATAGTGAACTCTTTCTGTTTACATGTTGTTTGTTTTAGTATCCAGAAGCCATGAGTTGTTAACCCTTAGGCTCGGTATTATGGATATCGCAACCTTTCGGCCTTGATTCCATTGTAAATACCGTAAATCTGGGAGAAATATGGCTTTTTTCTGCCTACCCCTGGGAGTGAACCCGGACCACAAGGAGTTCGTCACCCGGTCACCGCGCATTCTGGTTTAGTAGCCAACTACGCTAGAGAGCCGGGCTTCTGTTTACATAAGTTGGGATTGCTAATTTTTATTGTTAAAGCTTTGGCTAGTCTTGGCATTGGTCTGTTCAGTGTGGAAAGCACTGCATCAACGTATAATAAAGCACAGCAACTGAATAACCTTTACTGAAATACAAATGGTCTCTCTTGATAAATTGTTCATCTAATCGCTGGAGGTTCTGATAGTCGTGTGAGTTACAAGGATAACTTCACATTTATAATGAATTCCTTTTGTGTGCATAGTGGGGATTGTTCCATTTTTATCTGTTGTCTGGAATAAATAAACAAAAGTTTCACACTTTCAGGTATATTGGATATATAGTTTCACTTTGATATTTTTTTTACAAACCAGTTGATACTCAATAGGTTATATGGTCAGGATCACAAAGTAAACGTTTTTTTTTGCAACATTTTGTATATCATCTGGTTAGGCGTGGACAGAAAAGTACCTGTCAGAAGAATGTTAACTATTTTAACCACTTTAGAGAACATTCATTTTTTAGGGTGGGGGGGGGGGGAACAGATGCAGGCAACCAAGAGGTAGACACCTTTACAATTGGGACGATGAATCAAGACATAAATAAACAGCTTTATAGTGGCATCCAGACAGACCTCAAACACTTGGTGTCACCAACTGAAAAGAGAAGGCCAACCAGAGAGATGAATGGAGGCGGGTGATATTTGCAGCAATGAACCTCAAGGGCTCGGAATGCTGTAGAAGAAGACGTCTTTATGATGGCACCAGATTAATTGATTCAAAATGTTCTTTTCTTTTCTTTTTTATGTTATGATTTTCAAGATCAGTTTTTAAAGAAACATCTTGTGTGAGCCTGACATTTTGCTGTGTAGATTCTGGCATTCACGGCTTCAGATATTCCATCTAACCATCGATTGCGTGGGTGACCACTAACTCTGATTCCATTATGTCTAAGTGACATGGCTGTCTGTGGTGCACTGTCCTGTGACACTGATGCCGCATGTCGAAACCACTTGATCTGCTGTGTTTTGATGTAGTTTAGCACTGTTTCCATCCCCTCTTGTTTCCTGATGTTGTCCTTTCTGAACCTGTCTATTCTTGTTACATTTAGTATTTATTGAAATCCAAAGAAAATGTGAAAATAGCAGATGTATAGATGTTGAAGTCATTGATTGATGCTGTCTCTAGAGAACATACTTGTGAGGTTCTGTTTGAACAAGACAATGACGAGACTTCTATAGCCACACTGGTGCTGGAGTCACTTGTCAAGGTAAGTGCCGGCAGTAGCTGATAAGATGCTTTACCTGTTTGCTGGGAGGCGGTGGTGCTAAACCATATGTGGTGCTGCACCAGCACCAAGGCTCATCCTGGTCAACACCTACCTACACCTCTCCGTGGTCATCCTAAAAACAGTTTCCTAGCCAAGAGGAGCCTAGATAGGATCAATGTTTCCTTTTAAGTTGGAGTTCATCTGCTTCAGAGGCAAGAAACAGTCTGCACACAAGTAAGCTAGATCTCTAAAATAGATGCGTATGCAATACTCAAGTCATGTAATAAGACCAAAGCCCAGAAGTGGATGAAAAGCCATGACTTTCTACTAGTTTACAGCCGGTGAATGTGAAGATTTGTTTGCTGAAAGACGTATTTTCTTGGATATTTTGTGTGAACATTTGGCCATGTTTAAGTGAAAGTGACTAACTAGTCATTAAAACTCTGTCGCCCCACATGACCCGTTGGAATTCCTGAAAAAAAAATCCTTTATTAAAAACAGTTTTACGTAGATCACTAATAAATTTTAAAAATAGAAGGTATTTATTTTCATAACCATTTTTTAGGGTGGGGAGTGTTAGATATAGGGAGTAATGAGATAGACAAATTATCCATTCTGTAAACTTCACTCTAGAAAAGACAGAAAAGTAACGTGTATGGAAGGTCAGTTTTGCTGCTTCTGTGGGTGACAGGGTTATTAAACATGTATTTTAAAAAAAGGTTAGTAGCATATCCTTTACAGGACGTTACCACCCCAGTATTTTTGGGCTGGTGTGGTTTTTCTAGGCAATTTTACGTTCTGTAGTTTGCCATTGCTTCCTGAACGATCAGCTCTCGGTGCCACTGTCGAAACCAACACAAAACAAATCACCTGCAGCTGGGATGGAAACCAGCACCCTGACATTACAAAGCGCCTTCCCAATGTCTATGCCACAATTTTAAACACATTTATTCGTAACCTGTGTAAAAAAAAAATGTTTTTTTAAAAGGTTAGAAATCCAAATGGGATCATGACCTTTTTTCTAAGAGCTCTCGGGTTGTGAGGGTTAGGATCAAATCTAAAAAATAAAATAATACATGTGTTAGCCAGAGTTCTTGGAAAGAAGCACAATTTGATTGAGACTAAGAAAAGTTAAATGCATTTAAATTAACTGAGCAGTGGTTTAATCAGTAGATGTAGTTTAAATCATGATGGAAAAGGAAAGGGTGCTATCATGGATTCTTCTTCTTCAGGCATTTGCTCTGAGTGTCAAATGTTGATGATGTATGTTAGCCTTATGAGGGAGCATTCTAGACAAGAGAAACAGAGGATCACAGAGAAAGATAGGCAACAGGCAGTAATATCAGCAACGCTAAATTCATCAAAATAAATCTCTCTCCTTTGGTAAATTTACATACTCTGCTAAATTTATATCCATTCTTATTGTTTTAGCCATTGGCAAAATTATTACATTTCTCTATTAATCTTGAAGGGGGTGGCGAAATGGTTAAGCTTTTTGCCCTTTGGTGTTAAGGTTGTGAGTTTGGTTTCAGACTCTGTCATCCTGTTTGCAAGGCCTGCAGAGTTTGTGATTTGTGTGATGCTCTCAGCAGGTGACTGGTAGCTAAGCAGGTGACTGGTAGCTCAGCAGGTGACTGGTAGCTCAGCAGGTGACTGGTAGCTCAGCAGAGAGGTGACTGAGCTATACAGGAGGAAACCTGTTGATTCTTTCCTCTATAAACACCTCTTGTTTGTATCTTTCCTCTATAAACACCTCTTGTTTGTATCTTTCCTCTATAAACACCTCTTGTTTGTATCTTCCCTCTGTAAACACCTCTTGTTTTATCTTTCCTCTATAAACACCTCTTGTTTGTATCTTTCCTCTATAAACACCTCTTGTTTGTATCTTCCCTCTATAAACACCTCTTGTTTTATCTTTCCTCTATAAACACCTCTTGTTTTATCTTTCCTCTATAAACACCTCTTGTTTTATCTTTCCTCTATAAACACCTCTTGTTTTATCTTTCCTCTATAAACACCTCTTTTTGTATCTTTATTATATAAACACCTCTTGTTTATATCTTTCCTCTATAAACACCTCTTGTTTGTATCTTTCTTCTATAAACACCTCTTGTTTGTATCTTTCCTCTATAAACACCTCTTGTTTTATCTTTCCTCTATAAACACCTCTTTTTGTATCTTTATTCTATAAACACCTCTTGTGTGTATCTTTCATCTATAAACACCTCTTGTTTTATCTTTCCTCTATAAACACCTCTTGTTTGTATCTTTACTCTATAGACACCTCTTGTTTGTATCTTTCCTCTATAAACACCTCTTGTTTGTATCTTTCCTCTATAAACACCTCTTGTTTGTATCTTTCCTCTATAAACACCTCTTGTGTGTATCTTTATTCTATAAACACCTCTTGTTTGTATCTTCCCTCTATAGACACCTCTTGTTTGTATCTTTCCTCTATAAACACCTCTAGTTTGAATCTTTATTCTATAAACACCTCCTGTTTGTATCTTTCCTCTATTGCCACCTCTTGTTTGTATCTCTTCTCTTTGATGATATCTTATGTTTTAATGTGCTGCTCTACTCACTAGTTTTCTTCATACAATGTCTCCAATTTTTTTGTTTATAGTGTCCCATAGACACAAGAAAGGCTCTGGCCAATAATGTACTTGTTATTGGGGGAACTGCAATGATGCCCGGCTTCTACCATCGACTCCAGCTTGAACTGAGCAACCTGCTGAAGAAGCCAGTTTATGCTCAGCAACTTGGAATCAAGAAGTTCAAATTCCACAAAGCTCCAGCGAAAGAGAACTACACTGCTTGGCTTGGAGGTATCAGTCTAACAGTGTATAGCTAATTTAGAAACCTGTACTGTTCTGAATGCAAATAGTTGCACAAAGCTGGTAATATCATGTGTGAAACACCCCCTGTAAGAGCTGGTTTGTTTTCGAGCTGGTGGTATGCCTTGTGCAAAAATTCTGCTTGTGTACAGCCAGCCTGTCATGACTGACTACTTTCATTGACAGATTGCAATTCCGGTGGTGACTGTTGGTGTTGAGTTCTCTGGTGCTACCTCTCTTTGTGTGCATGTTTTTGGATTTTGCTGGGGCTGATTGTTAACTTTTTAAATGTGATTTTCACTGGTCTTGGAACAGAGCAATTTTGGGGTGACTTGTAAGTGATGTTGAAACCTCGACTGCGACTTGATGTAAGACATAACAATAAAATGTTTCTGCTAAAGTGAGGTGTTAATTGCATATCATTTTTACAGCATGCTGAACACCAAACTCCAGCATTTATTTGTTGTTTCAGGTTTTATGTTGGCATTATGAAACTGCATGCATAATTCTGATCCACAGATGCCATCTAAAGTGAGGAATCTGTGCAAGAAATCTAATTCTTCTTTTGTAAATTTCTAAACAAATAAACTTCCCAAACTGGTCTATAGGTTACCTGGTAGCCATTTTGTAGTGCCCCAGTATAATTGTTTCATATGGTTTGAGGTTTGAACATCATGGCACACGGGTAGTAACCCATAAGTGCTCCCTTCTTCTTCTAACTCAAGTCTGAGTCCGAAGAAGCCCAGCACAGTGCACAGGATCTGTAGCACCGGAGAGGATCCTGAAATACTTTGGGTAGATTTTTAACTCCAAATTTTGCCCGGGCAGTGCTGTTAAGCTACTCTTTTTGATTTCCAACTGCCAAGGGATTTTGTACGTGTGCAACAATGCAGACGGGCGTCAGATCTCACTACCCAGAGACCAAGAGGAATTACTAGAAGTCCAAGTCCACATGACAAAATCCCAGCCCTTACAGATGATTGAACCCGGAACCTCTAGCGCACGAGGCGGACACTATGCCTCGAGACCACTCAGCCCCTGTCATATGGCTAAACAGTTGAATGGAGTATCCAATATTTGCATTGCAGATCTGGAGGGGAAAAACTTTCTTATTTGTAAATGTTAAGTTGTATATTCATGTCATGTACTGAGGAAGGTGTTCTAACCTCATTCACCTATCATTTGTGTTATTGTGAAGCTCATTAGTGCCGCTTTTTACTTGGTTAGATTTTTTTAAATAACTCAAAATATTCCTACTTAAATAAGAAACAGCTGACTCTTCTCATCCACAGGAGCTTTGATAGGTGCCCTTGAAACACTGCCTGCCAAATCGCTGTCACGCGATGTGTACCTGCAGAAGGGAAAGCTTCCAGACTGGTGCTGTGTTGATTCTGACCACTTAACAGAAGAAAAACCTACAAAAATTTAGTTGCTTATTTCATTAGTTGTATGTAAATTTCCCCCCACATTCTCAACTTGTAACGGCTGGGTTGTTTATACCAAAAGTGTGTATGAAAAATGCCTATCAACCTTATAGTTTTTTCCAGTTTCTTTTTTAAAGGACAGTGTATATGGTGTTTCCTGGCTAAACCATGCTTTGTTATTGATTTACTGCGGTGGAGAGATGTGAGTAGGCAGACAGTTTGGGCATGGGTTCGGTTCCCAGATCAGGTATTTGTATAATCTTTATGGTTCAGTGGACAAAAAATAGTGGCTACCAGTTGGCTCTAAGGAGTGCTTCCAGCAACTTAAGGTGTCTTGGTTCATTCACTGCACCTAGATCCATTTCCAATTTGTCTTAACGCTCTCTGCCATTGGATCAAGATGGACACAGGTGAGAGAGTAAGGTCGACATACTACTCAACTTTTCCTCACTTGAAACTAAGTCGTCGTTGCCCACGTCACGTTCATCCAGTTAAAGAAGAGAGAAGTACTACACAAACACTGATGATTATTAAGTTTTCAGAAGTCTGCCACGGACCTCATACTTTCAAGTCGTTCTGAATAACTTATTATAATTTATAGATATTAAAATCACAACAAAGGACTGCATTGGTATTCTACTTCGCGGTCACTTCAGCTGAAAGTTCTGCTTCTTTATCCACCTCTAGACTAGTTTTGTTCCAGAACCTGAGTGCCGCATGCAGTCTATTCAACATGTCT